AAGCTAAAGGGCACAGGTTTGATTCCAGGCCAGGGCCCCATAAGGGGCACATGAGAGGCAGCTACACAGTGATGCTTCTCTCCCTTTCTTGCACCCTTCCTTCTCCTCTCTAATAAGAAATCTTTAAAAAAAAATTTTTAAAGTTAAAAAAACAGTAGTAAAACTGTTGCCTATTAACATAAATATCATTTTTAAGGGAAAAAACTATTGTCCAATACTTTTCAGCAAGAACACTGGCATTTTTAGTTTGCAAATCTCTTTAATGCCTGGCTTAACAGGAGATAGTTGGATTCTACTGCATTCCTCCGTTGTGGTATCACAGGTGAGTTAATGAATGAAAAAGGGCAGATAACATCTGAGTCTTATCATGAAAAGTTTTTGACCTCGGGTACTTTGGAAGGGACCACACTTCTAAAGAGAACTGCTGCTTTAGGGTGTAGCCTTTAGTGGTTTAAGTGAAGGTGGTTCAGAGAGCCCCTGGTTTCAGCCTCCCAGCACCAGTACGAACCTTTCTTTAGCTATTTTCTTTTTAAGATTTTATTTACTTACTTTCAGAGAGAGGGGAAGGGAGGGAGGGAGAAAGAGAAGGGAGAGAAACATCTATGTGGGACTCACAGTGATGGGCTGCCTCTCCCAGGGACCCAGCCTGTATGTGCCCTGACTGGGAATCGAACCGACATCACTTCAGTTTGCAGGCCAGTGCTCAATCCACCGAGCCACACTAGCCAGGGGCACAGCTCAGGAATTGGCAAATGCCACAAAGTGAAATCACAGGCAGAACACCCACCTTGCATTTCCACATTTCCCTTTTCTTTAGCATCTTGACCCCTTGGGTCCCAACTGCCTTTGTAAGCCTGAACCCCCATTCTGCCCTGCCCACCCAGGGAGGCCACTGAAGGGTCCCCCCTCAAAGGGGAAAGCACAGGCCAAAAATCATCTTCCTTCTCTCTAGGATCTTGGCCCCCAAAACGATGGTTGCTGCTGTTGCCCTTCAGTGCTTTCAAACAACTGGGATTTTTTTCTTTGTATTTTAGTTGGCTCCTATAGTTCTTGGCAAGAGTGTTATGTTAGTCTGATAGAAAAATCTGTGTTGTAACTGCGATTGGACGGACATCAGCACATAGTTCTCTAACTTGCTTTTTTGTGGACTTTCTTAGCAATTTATCTGAGATCTTTCCCCATGTGTTCATAGAGCCGCCTCATTCTTTTTCACATACAGCCTTTTATGGATGGGTTATCAATTTCATTAGATGATTTCCAGTGTGTCACTACAACTGACAGTCTCTAATTACATATATGAATTTGTACACGTGCACCCCTATCTATAGGTTAAAATCCTGGGTCTTCAGTGCGTATGAAGGCTTGTCACTTTGAGAGCTGGCATTTAATTGTCCTCCAGGGTGTGGTACCAGTTGATCCTCCCCCAGCATGTCTGAGAAGGGCAAATGGTTTGACCTGAATGGCTTACAGGCCATGGCCAGACTTGGGGAGAGAGGGGTAGGGCCCTTCCCCTGCTTCACTAGCCCCTGAGCTTGAAGCCAGGTCACCTCTGTGGTCTCTCCCAGGACACATTTGACATCCGAATCCTGATGGCCAAGTCTGTCAAGTACACGGTGAACTTCTTAGAAGCCAAAGAAGGGGATTTGCACAGGTACCAGCCCTCACACCCCTCCTGCTGGGCCACTGCTGGCTCTGCTGGCCGCCCTTCGTCTCTGCCAGCAACCCCTGTTCGGCTTCCCCAGCAATCACTGCCCTTTGCCTTCCAGGATAGAAATCCCATTCAAATTCCACATGCTGCATTCCGGGCTGGTTCACGGTCTGGCTTTCTGGTTTGACGTCGCATTCATTGGGTCCATGTGAGTGCAGTGGAGCTGAGTGTGCTACCCCCAGCCCCCAGGACTTCCCTGCAGTTGTAAAGCCCAGGCGTGGCTGGTTCGGATGCTGATGAGGGGCTGGGAGGGCAGGCCATTCCCTTCAGGTTCCCCTGTCCCTTCCGAAAGACAATGGGAGATTACCTCAAGCCAGAGACTTTTGTGGGAGGGGAGTGTGTCTACCCTGTTCCGAGTGACCTTTACCGGCCCTGGTCAGTATCTTGGCACATGTCAGGGTGAATGGGCACCTCATGACTGTAGTGTCCCTGTTGTGTGGATGTGTGGTTACGACTGTGTGGGTGGCCAGCGTCCCTCAGCCCTAGGGCCCCGGGGGACCTGCAGAGAGGGCAGACACCTCAAGGTGCACAGCATGGTGGCCCCAGCCCAGCCAAGTCTCAAGTCAGTGCCTGTCCTTTCTTGGCAGAATGACTGTGTGGCTGTCCACGGCCCCGACAGAGCCCCTGACCCACTGGTACCAGGTCCGATGCCTGTTCCAGTCACCACTGTTCGCCAAGGCAGGGGACACGCTCTCAGGGACATGTCTGCTCATTGCCAACAAGAGGTGCCAGCTGTCTCCCTGGGCTGGGGGAGGGAGGGGTTCATCCACCAGCAGGCTTATGACCGCCCCCCCCCCCGCCCCCGACAGACAGAGCTACGACATCAGTATTGTGGCCCAGGTAGACCAGACGGGCTCCAAATCCAGTAACCTCCTGGATCTGAAAAACCCCTTCTTCAGGTAGGATGGGCGCATGGCCTGTTGGGGGGCCCCCCTTTGGCCCAAAGCCCCCTCAGCCCTGCCCACGAGTCCATCTCTGCTGCAGATACACAGGCACGACGCCGTCACCCCCGCCTGGCTCCCACTACACGTCCCCCTCAGAGAACATGTGGAACACGGGCAGCACCTACAACCTCAGCAGTGGGATGGCTGTGGCTGGTGAGCAGGTCCCTGAGTGGGTGGGGTAGGGGGGCAGGGCCACTGACCAGTCACTCCTACCAGAGCTTCCTGGGCAAGGCTGGCAGTTCTGGCCCCTCACACAGAACACTGTCCCCACCTGGCCCTGACATCTCCCTCTCTGGACACAGGGATGCCAACTGCCTATGACCTGAGCAGTGTTATTGCCAGCGGCTCCAGTGTGGGCCACAACAACCTGATTCCTTTAGGTGAGTGTCCCTGGGTCTGGGGAGGTGCGGGGGCGGGGTCACCACTCACGATGGCCCATGTGCTTGGGCCTTCTGCCTCACCTTTTCCTCTTCCTGGGCTCCTGGCTGAGGTCCTCCGTTCCTCTCTGCCTCGCTCTGCCGCCACTGCACCCACCCTCCCTGCACCCTGGTGTGAAAGTGTGAGTGGGCGCGCCCACCTCAGGCAGAACGTGGGCCTGGGCTGGCTGGGGGCGGTGACGCCGTCTCCCTTCCTTCCTCCTTCTGCTGCGCAGCCAACACGGGGATTGTCAATCACACCCACTCCCGGATGGGCTCCATAATGAGCACGGGGATTGTCCAAGGTAACGGAGCGAGCGGGCCCCGTGGGTGTGAGCACGCTGACCGCCGGGCCGCCCACTGGCCCTCTCGCCTGCTCTCTCTGTCCCTCTAACTCTGCTGTGGGGCCGGGTGGGCGAGGGGCACAGCTGGCCCTCAGTGCCCATGCCTATTCCACAGGGTCCTCCGGCACCCAAGGCAGCAGCGGCGGCGGCTCCAGCGCCCACTACGCAGTCAACAGCCAGTTCACCATGGGCGGCCCTGCCATCTCGATGGCATCACCCATGTCCATCCCAACCAACACCATGCACTACGGGAGCTAGGCCCCTCCAGCGGGGAACGGACTGACAGCACCAGGAAACCAAATGAAGACCCTGCCCACCCACCCCTCCGCCTGGGCGGCTCTCACCCCTGTACTGGAGAAGCCCGAACACCAGTCACAGCCCTCTTTGCTACGGGAACTTGGATACTTTTTTACACAACATCGCTGCCGCCACCCCCACCCAACTGCCCACCCACATCTCGGCCCTGAGCGTGTGTCGCTGCCATATTTTACACAAGATCATGTCATGGGAGCCTTGTTACCCCCTCCTGCCCTCTCCTCTCTGACCTGGGCTTAACATCGGATGAAACAGGCATGTCCAGGCCTGACAGCTGCAGGCCCGGTGGGGCAAGAGGCAAGGGGCAACTATGGCCCCGCCCAGTTCCCTGGCACCTGTCCCCCTTGCCTGTCTCCAGTGGGAAGGCGGTCCTAGCTAGATGGGGCCTCCCCTTCAACTACCAGGCCTTGGTCACAATGGGCGTGACATGCTGCTTTTTTTAATTTTATTTTTTTACAAAAAGAACCAGTGTCAATCCACAGACCCTCTGAGATACCAGGCCGGCCGGGCCGAGCCAGCCCCCTTTTTCCCAACTCAGAGGCTCAGTGATGAGGGGTGGCCCTGCCAGGTCTTCAGGACAGGGTGGGGCCAGGCCTGTGTAGCCCCCCTCCCACAAATGGGTTCACCTCACACTTGAATGTACAACCTACCCCAGCTGTCGGGAAGGCCCTCCGTCCGGCCCCTGCCTCTCGCTGCTGTCCTGTCCCTGACCCCTCTGGGTTCTCCCACCCCCTACCCCCAAGAGCTAGAACAGGAGGCCTGTGGGCCTGGAGGGGAGGAGGGTCACTGTCAGCCAATGGGGGCAGACACAGAAACCTCAAGGAACTGTCATGGAAGGCATCCTTTTTCCTTGTAGCTAACATTAGGCCTGTGTATTTCCCCCAGTATTTGTAGACGCTCCAGTCCCTACTACAATGATGGCATTTTGGTCTCTTTCCAGCCTGGGAAGGAGCCTTGTAGGGATCTTTCCCTCCAAAAAAAAAAAAAGAAAAAATAAACAAGGAAATGTGTTTCAGCACAGGCAATTTTCTTCTACTTCTGCTCCCCCCATTTCTAACACCCCCAAACCTGGATGTGGTGGAGCTGAAGCTAGGCCCAAGGCCCTGCTAACTCCGGGAAGGGCGGGCACAGCTGAGGCTGGAGTGACCCTCTGCTCTCCAGCCCCAGCCCTGGGGAACGAAGAAAGGCCCAGCAGGCAGCCCCTGGGGCACCAGCCGCACTGGAAGCTCCTTGCTCAGCCACCCTTCTCCCGCCTTTATATAAATTCTCTGAATCACCTTTGCATAGAAAATAAAAGTGTTTGCTTTGTAAGAAAAGTCTGGAAAGTAGCCCAGTGATCTTGAGATGTCAAGGGAACTTTCAGTCATCGTCTGGGGGGCAGGGCAGGCAGAGGTGTCCCCTCACGGTGGACCTGAAAGAGAAACTCCCACCAGTGGCTCTGTGACTTCTCACCTTATGGGGAAGAAGCCGTAAGCCCCTTGGCCACAGTTGGAAGCAATTCCTCACCTGCAGGCTCGGGCCTTAGGTTGTCACATGTCTTTGCGGGGTGGCAGTCTGCAGAATGCCTGAGGGCAGAGATGTGGCCTGGGGCGCAGGTGTCACGTGCTCCAGAGGCAGTGGCTGGAAAAAGTAAAACTGAGCCCAGATCCCTGGGGTTAGCATCATGACCAGCACGCTGATCAACCCAGAGGTCCAGCTGTGACCACCCCAGACCCGTACCTTACAGCCCATGGCCAGGAGGGCATGGAGTAGCACGACAACACATAGCAGCACAGAGGCCACCAACCTGGTGTCCTCGCGGACAATGGGCCAGAGGGTGAACACCAGGCCAGCGGCTGACAGGGCCAGAGCCAGCACCCCGAAGAGCCACTGCAGCCATGGGACAGGGATCAGCCACAGGACCTGGGGCAACACAGGCAGATGGCAACCAAGTTTCTCATGGCACATGAAGCCCAGCCCCGCCCCGCCCCCTGGGGCCATACTCACCACAGTGGGGATGAAGATGAAGAGGGAGTAGCCATAGACACACACGGTCTCCAGAAAGGTGTAAGGCCCCATGCGCTCCCGGACACCCTTGCGCCACTGTAGGAAGGCCCACAGCGCCAAAGGCACCAGCCAGGCGTAGGAGTAGATGGCAATGCCGGCCACAGTCACTGGGGGGCAAGGTAGGCAGTCACCCTGGGGGCCCTTGGGCACCCCCCAGCCCCACCAGGTGCTGCGCCTTGCCTATTTTGCTTACCCTTGTGGAACTGGGGGCTGTAGTGAATGGAGGAGTCCCTCCTGTGGGCCAGCACCACTGTCAGGTTCCCGGTAATGGCCAGGACAAAGGCCAGCGTGGCACAGATCCAGAAGGGGCCTGCGGGTGGGATGCACTCAGGGTCCCAGACACAGAGCTTCCGGGACAGGTGACTTGTCCTCTTTTGCCCTAGCCTTTCCAAGTTCTAGGCTACCCCTACCACTCCATGGACTCGACTTAAACCCATTGACAGCCTGGTGGTTGAATCCAGTGCTGGCTCAATCCTCATCTTTCTTGGCCTTTCAACAGCCTTTGACGTAGCTGATTCCCCCCCATACACACTCCCCACCCCTGGAAACACTCTCCACATTCTTGGCTTCTGTCTCATGTCACCAACAATTCCTTGACCTCTTTGACTCCCTGGCCTCTAACGACGTGGAGCCGGCTGGGCCCAGTCCTCGGCCCCGCCCTGTGTTCACCCCTTGCATGGTCTTGTCCAACCTCAGGGTCTTCTGCCCCCTCCAGACCAGCTACTCCCAAATGTCTCCTGTCTGGGCCTCTACCCTAAACCTTGGGCTTGACAGTCAACGTTTCCATAAGCGCACCTCCCCCTCCATCTCACCACACTCACTCTTTCCCCGCAAACCTGCCCAGCTTTTCCCACTAATAAATAGCAACTTCATGCTTCTCACGGTCCAGGAAAACACCTTGGCACCCTCCTTGGCTCCTCTCTTCCCATCCTATGATCTAGCGGGTCAGCAAATCCCGTCAGTTCTACCCCTTCAAGGCATGGGCCAGAATGCAATCACTCCTTTCTCCCTGGTGCCAGCTCCCCCCACAATACTTGCCTCTTCCCTGGTCTCCCCTCTTTCTGCCATTGTGCCTCACAGTGGCCAGAGGGCACCTAAGAAACTTAACTAAGCTCCCTCCTCACGGAACCTTAGGAAGTCTGTGCCATCTGTCACCTAGGTGGTGGCCTAGCTGTTTATTCTGCTCAAATGTCAATGCTACCCTGCAGTTCAGGTGTGCTTCTTCCACTAGGCTTATGCCCCTTCTGGAATGATCTCCTCGTAGCTCTCTCCACCCCTAATCCTGACACCAACAAGGCTCATTCCCTCACCCTCCTCAGAAGGGCCTTCCCTGATTAACCCAAGCCAAGTAGCAACTCTCATCCTTTAAACCAACTGATTTACCCTCTAAACCATCCTCTTCGCCCTCTGCAATCCTTTGTGTCTCTACCTCCTGAAGTGTAACTCTCACACTCTCCACGAGGGACTCCGTTTTCCATATTTGCTGAATGAACAATCGAATGAACTGGAAGCACAACCTCACTCACCATACAGGTCTGGGCGATTCCGCAGATGGTGCCGTACAAAACTGTGGCCAGGCCGGGGCAGCAGTGACCCTTTAATCCGGTCCAGGACCTGGGGGCGAGGCCAGGACCGGGATGGAAGGCTGCTGGGGCTCCTCACCACCCCCGGAGGAAAGAGGCCGAGCTCCTCCCCTGCCCTTAAAGGCGGCTTCTCTGCTGCCCTCCCACTTCCTCTCTCCAACCTGCTTGAAAGGAATCAGAACTTCCCTCTGGGATTTTGACAGGCTGTTCCCATCGCCTGAAGCCCTTTCCCCTGGCCACCCCCCGACTCAATATATCAGTGTCCCACCATTCTGAAGGACCTCAGGGCCTGCCATCATCCTGTGTTAGGCTGCCCTGGACTGCTGCCCTTGCTGCTTCCCCCAACCCCAGTGAGGAGAGTCAGCAAGGCCTGGGCATTCTCCTTCCTGCCTCTCTCGCCAGGAGTCCTCCACTCTGTAGCCCGGGTTCATTATCATCTCCCACCCTGGCCTGGGGACTCCAATCCACCTTCCATGTTGCATATCTGCTCATTTCGTTCACTAATTTCCTGCTCTACCCTTCTATGACTCCTCAGCACCCTCAGGGTAAAACCCAGACCCCTTAATACACCTCACAAGGCCCTTTGTGATCTGGCTTCTGCCTGTCCATCTCCCACCTCTCACACTCCAACCAGACTGAGTGACAGGTAGGTAGCTTCTGTGACAGCTCCTGCCTTCTCTCATCTGTGGTCTCCTGTATACGATGTTCCCTGTGTCTGGAACACACTTTTGCTTCCTTCCACTCTGCCCGGCTAAGTTTTCCTTCTTTAAGTCTCAACAAATTCCTTACCACCCCCAGGCGACCTTTCTCTAACCCACCATATCATATGTGTCTCCTGGGTTCCCCAAAGCCCCACTCATCACATCAAAACCCTTACAGCGCACCACAGTTACTTCTGCTGGCCTGGGCGGAATCTCCTGTGTCCCCATGTGGGTATCTCCAGCAACCTGCCCAGGGTCCGGTGACAGGAAGTGCTCAGCAGTACATGATAGCTGAACCCCAAGCATGACGCCAAGCCCCATCCCACCAGCTTCCCAAACCTCACCTGTGAGGTGTCCACATCAAAGAAGCTCTGATAGTAGCCAAAGGTCCAGAATCCCGGCTGCTGCTTCTCCTCCTGTAGAAGCTGCAGTGTGGGCTTTCAGTGCCTGCCCTTCCAGCCCGGGTCAACCGGGGTCATGAGGGAGGTAGGGCGCTGGGACTTATGTGACTCACCATGGTCTTGTCACTTTCTTCCACCTCGTCCTCTGCACCATAGCTGCCATCTGAACCCACAGCCACAGCTACATGCCCCTTTGGGGTCAGCTGATCACTTCTGGTAGTGGCCACATCTGGGGTCTCCACCAGCAGATTAGTGGCTTCCTCGAACTCTATTGGGAATAAATATGGGACACAGGCATGTTTGTCTGGGGGAAGTCAAGACAATATGGCCCACTGCTCATTCGGAGGCCAAGACTCTAGTCCGTGGCCACCTCCGTGCTCTCCCCAACTCAGGGCCCGGCTTCCTCAATTTTGGGGAGAGGAGAAGGAGGTGTGTTCCATCACTCATAACAACTGATGGCAACAGAGGGCTGGTTCTGGGACAGAGTCAGGTTTAAGGTCTGAGTTGGGGGCTGGAGCGGAGTTCGACTTTGCGCTGGGTTTCATGCCTGGGGTCAGGGTTCACAGCTGACTGCGGCTCGGGTTAGATACGAGGCGGGACTCAGATGTGAGGTTCTGGCCAGCGGAGGGGGGAGGTCGGGGTAGATCGCAGCTGCACTCACCGTGGAAGGCCAGCTCGTCGCCCGCTGCCATGGTCATCCAGGGGCGTCACCGCATCCCGCTCTGAAGACAGAGGCCAATCAGACCCGCACCCAGTCCCACTCAGCGCCCCTCCCGGGTCTGTCCCTCAGCCCCTAGCCCAGCCCGGCTGTTAACGGTAGCCACCCGGGAGTGAACTGCCACCCCCGCCCCACAGGGGCAACCCGCCCCGCTCACCTGAGTCCGTCTCAGCCGGCGTGGCCACGGCTTTCTGCGCCTGCGCGGCCGTCTACCAGCCAGTCAATACGACTCGTTTCAGATAACAACGTCCGGCGCCGGTCCGTTTTCTATCCTCTTCCGATAGGAAACCACTACCGGCAATATTGACACTCGCGCAGATGAGACTCCCGGGCCTTTTACTTCTCATACCTGTCGTTTCTCTTCGGAAAACGGACGTCAAGCAGGAAGAGAATGGCGGCAGCCGCTCTGAAAAGACTTTGGTCGCGAAGCCGCGGAGAGGCGGGGGACCCAGCAGTCGCGAAGCCAGGCGTGTGGGCGAGGTTTGGTGAGTAGCGGCAGGGTGGGTGGCCGCAGCTGACACAGGCGGCGGAGTGAGTGGCCGCAGCGGCCGGAACCCTCTCATCGTGCTTCCTTTCTCATAGGTGCCTGGGCCCGCGCGCTGCTCCGGGACTACGCGGAGGCTTGCGGGGACGCGGCGGCGGCGGCACGGGCCCGGCCGGGTCGTGCCGCCGTGTACTTGGGGTTGCTGGGCGGCGCGGCGACCTGCTGCGCGCTGGCGCCGAGCGAGCAAGCCTTCGAGGAGGCGCTGCTCGACGCGTCGGGGACCCTCCTGCTGCTGGCACCTGCCACGCGAAACCGTGACTCGGAAGCGTACGTGCAGCAGCTGCTGTGGCTGCGGGGCCGCGGACGCCTGCGCCACGTGAACCTGGGCCTCTGCTCTCTGGTGTACGAGGCGCCCTACGACGCCCAGGCCAGCCTCTACCAGGCCCGCTGCCGCTACCTGCAGCCCCGCTGGGCCGAGTTCCCAGACCGGATCTTGGACGTGGGTTTCGTGGGCCGCTGGTGGGTGCTGGGAGCTCGGATGCGCGACTGCGACATCAACGACGAGGAGTTCCTCCACCTGCCGGCACATTTGCGCGTAGTCGGGGCTCATCAGCTGCACTCGGAAGCCAATGAGAGGCTCTTTGATGAGAAGTATCAGCCCGTCGTGCTCACCGACGACCAGGTAGACCAGGCGCTATGGGAGGAGCAGGTCTTGCAGAAGGAGAAGAAGGACCAGTTGGTCCTGAGCCAGGCCGAGTCGCTGTTGAGGAGGTCCCCAGATGAAACCCAGTGAGGCCTGGATCCCGACCCAGCTCTGAGCCCTGGCCGACTCCTGGCAGACTCTTTGCCGGGTATTATGCAATTGGTGTGAGTGAGCCTCAAGTGCAGAGTGTTCTCGCCCGGTTTTCACAAAACTGGGGGACCTTTCTCCCTCTCACATTTTTTCCTAACACTGAAGCTAGTTCAGAGCCTTTTTGGTGTAGGAGTTGGGGAGAGCAGAAGCGACAAGACCATAGAATGTTTGTCACTGCCATAGTTAGTAATGAGCTTTACACACAATTCATTGGGCCTCGTGGTCCTCCTGACTGAGGCTTCATATCTGTCGGGTGACTGCCAATCTCTCCTAAAGCCATTCAGGTTTTTGTTTTCAATCGTAAGGTGCAATGTTTATACTCTAATTTTCATGAGTAACATTTGTGTTTTAATTTATTTTGAACTAATTATAGTATCAGAGTAAACTGGAAAAAGAATACAGGACTTCCTTTGTACTCTTTGCCCACCTTCCCCCAAATGGTAACATTTTACATAAGCAGTACCAAACTAGAGGTTGACATTGGTATGACTATTTGGGTTTTACAGAGAAACTTTTTGTGCAAAATAACCCGCTTTTACCATTTGTGTATTGATAGCGATGTTAAAGTGAGTTGGAAGAATAAAATGTTTTCTGATTGGAAATCTACATGGGATCATACATTCTGGTTATGTTATATCTCAGTGGCCTTTAAAACATAATCCAATGGAAAAGAATATGTTAGCTGATACGTAGCTAGGTTATGGTAATCATACTTTAAACACTAAACTTACATAAGAGTGAGACTGACTTCCTCAGGTAGGTGGCCTGTGGCTAGTTAATAACACCAGGAGGTGAAACAACCAGCTTTGTTGTGATTTTGTGTTCTCCTGCATGCCACCAACTTTTGGTGCATAGACTTTTCACTTGTACTGTGGGTTGCTGGACACATGGTAATTTTTATATCCTTATTTTTGGGGGCAGAGGAGCATCTTTCTCAGTCTGCATTTCCATTTTCAAAAGGAAAAAAGTGAGGGCCAAAAAGTGTTTAATTTTTTCCAAGACTGTGGCAGAGCCATGATTCAAACTGTAACTCCCAGCCCTGTCGCTTAATCCTGAAACTCATGGCACTGTCTTTGATCCTAACAACATTCTGTCAGAAGTTGTTAAATACTGCTATCACTAACCATAAATAAAACGAATACAGAAATAAATTAATTTTAAAACAATGAAAATCGTACTAAATTTTAATCGTACAGGGTCTGGCACAAGTAATGCCCCTTTTTTATTACAAAATCATAAGCATGTAATTCTGTAACATAACGATATCACACTGAAGGACAACATATGTTGTTTTAGGTAGAACATATTAAACCTATAAGTTATTACATCCATAGTATTATCCTACCAACCTCACTCAAGCAGGAGTTACTTCTGCTGGACCCCTGTATACTGTTAACTGCCAAAGGCTCTATACCTAAATCATGGTGATTTTGTTCAAGAGAGAGATTAGCCAACTTCAGGGAAGGATTTAAGACACACTGGTGTCAAAATGAGACTTGCTCCTTACCATGACCAGAAGTACTGAAAGAAGACCACACATCTTCACTGAGTCGGTATTAAGCGCCGCTTTTGATGTCCTGCCAGGGTGTGTTCCATGCAGGCCCCCTGCAGGTGTGAAGCTCAGCAGTGGTTGACAACAACCTACATGTAAACAACTCTCAGTGTGTTCATAGGAAATGAGGGCCTTGGTATAGGCCTGACATTTGTGTGACTTTGTTTTTGGTGGGAGGGCTGACCTTTCCCAGCGGAGTACCACCCTCTCTAGTAGCTCTGGCCTCCTGAGTCTGATGTAAGGCGTGTGGACTGGAGCTGTTAGACTGGACAGGGGACCTGGAATTGCTCATGCTCTGCATCTTGGGGCAAATAACAGGCTCGCACAGGACAGGCCCAGGTCTTGTTTGCTGCTGAGCTCCCAGCTCCCCACAGTGTTCAGCCGAGTGTGAGCACCAGCAAATGTTGCAACCCTTAGATGATACCTGAAACATATAATTTTATTAACCAATGTCACCCCAGTAAATTCAACAAAAAATAATAAAGGAGAAGCTTGAGTGAGATACTGCACATGCCCGTTGTGGGTGAGAACTGATACGGCCTGGCTGGGGAGCGGGAAGAGGACCAAGGTTGGCTCCCCGTCCATTGGCCAGCCCGGGGAAGAGGACCTCTGGTCTCAGCCCTGCCCGGTGCCAGACACAGCACAGTGGGCGTGCTGTCTCCAATTCCGTGAGGGCAGTAGGACATGGGAAAGAGGTGGGCTTGAAAGCAAGGTTTAAATTTCAGCTTTCGCACTAGCTTTGTGACTGACCTGGACCATAGCAGTTAGGCAAGAAAAAAGCATCCAAAATATAAAGGCATCCAAATCATAAAATGTAAAACTGTCACTATAGTCACATGCCATTTAATGATGGTGATACTTTCTGAGAAATGCATTGTTAAGGGATTCTGCCATTGTGCAAACATCATAGAGTGCACTTACACAAACCTAGATAGAGCCTGCTTCACACCTAGGCTATATAGGGTAGCCAATTTGCTCTTAGGCTGCAAAAATGTACAGCATGTTACTGTACTGAATACTGTAGATAATTGTAACAAAAGTATTTGTGCATCTAAACAGACCTAAACATAGAAAAGATATGGCAAAAATATGGTATAAAATATAAAAATTTGTATACCATATGGGGCACTTACCATGAATGGAACCAAAAAAATAAAAAGCCCCGGATAGGCAAAGTAATCTTGAAAGAACAAAGCTGGCAGCATCACATGCCCTGATTTTAAACTATATTACAAGGCTTAGTAATCAAAACAGTATGATATTGGCATAAAAATAGACACATAGGTCAATGGAACAGGAGAGAGGCCAGAAATAGACCTACCCATATATGATCAATTAATTTATGAAAAAGGAGCCAAGAATATACAATGGGGAAAGGAAGGTCAGTAAATGGTATTGGGAAACTTAACAGCCACATGCAAAAGAATGAAATTGGATCACTGTACAGAAAAATCAACTCAAAATGGATTAAAGACTTGAATGTAAGACATGAATCCAGAAAACTGGAAGAAAATAGACAGTAAGCTCCTTGACATCAGTCTTAGCGATGGTTTTTTTGGATTTCACACCAAAAGTAAAGACAACAAAAGAAAAACAAGTGGGATTACCTCAAAAAGCTTTTACACAGCAAAAGAAACCATTGACAAAGTGAAAAGGCAACCTGATGAATGGGAGAAAATGTTCACAAATGATAGAAGGGCTTCATATCCAAAATATATAAAGAACTCATACAATCAGTGGCAAAAGAAAAAAAGAAAAAGAAAGTATGTAGAGGATCTGAATAGACATTTTTCCAAAGAAGACATACAGGTGGCCAACAGTTACATGAAAATGTGCTCAACATCACTAACCATCAGGGGAATGCAAATCACAACCGCAGTGAGCCAGCAACTTACACCTGTCAGAATGGCTATTATCAAAAAGACAAGAAATAACACGCGTTGGTGCACTGCTAGTGGGAACGTAAATTGGTGCAGCCACTACAGAAAACAGTATGGAGTTTCCTTCAAATTAAAAACAGAACTGCCATACGATCGAGCAATTCCATTTCTGGGTATTTATCTGAAATAAACACTACCTTGAAAAGATACGTGCACCCACATGTTCACTGTAGCAGTATTTATAATAACCAAGATACAGAAACAACCTAGATAATCCACCGATGAATGAATGGATGGAGAGAATGTGGTATGTACACACAAAGAAATATTCAGCCATAAAAGGAAGGAAATCTTCCTCTTGCGGGTGGCAGCCAAAGAGAGAGGATGGCAGGAAGGCCTCCGGCATGCTGGGGGAGCACGAGGTGTTGGGGTGCTGCCTGCCTACCCCCAAGTGCCAATACTGCCCCTCTACCACATGGCATCTTGACACCCAGCCACATCGTCGATAAGTGAAGCTTCTGGTATTTTGTGTCTCAACTGAGGAAGATGAAGGACTCTTTAGAGGAAATTGTCTACTGTGGGCAGATATTAAAAAAAAACAAAAACAAAAACAAAAAAAAACAACCCCATCGGGCGAAGAACTTCGGCATTAGGCTGCTCTGCGACTCCCGCAGTGGCACCCACAACACACACCGGGAAAACTGGGACTTGACCACTGCTGGCACCATCTCCCACTGCTCCTGAGACACGGGGCCATGGCACCGTGCCCGCGCCCACTGAATCCAGATGAGAAGGTGGAGGAGATCATGGCCAAGTGCCTCCAAGGGCCGTCAGGCAGGTCCAAGACTTCAAGATCAAGTTCCCACTGCCTTACCCAGTCCTTCATCACCAGGACAAGCCACACTTCACCACCAAGAGGCCCAGCACCTTCTTTTAGATCCAGGGCCTCTCTGTCCTCTGGTCTGTCCAAATACACTTGGGAAAACTGGGGGGTCGGAGGGGGAGGAAGGAAAGCTTGCCATTTACAACAACATGGATGGACCTTGAAGTATTATGTTCAGTAAAATAAGTCTGACAAAGACAAGTCCCGTATGATCTCCCGTATGTGACGTCTAAGAAAAGAAAACGAGATAATAGAACGGATTGGTTGCTGCCAGAGGGCGAGGAGTCGAGGTGGGAGTGGGTGTAATGTGTGAAGGGAGACAAAAGGTACCAACTTCCAGTTATAAATAAGCCATGGGGCTGTCATGGACAGTTTGGTGACTATAGTTAATAATATCGTATAGACTGTTAAAAAAACGTAGGGTTTGGATCTCAACTTCCACACTAGCTCTGTGACTGTCCTGAGGCAGGTGAAGGGACCTCTTCACGCCTCAAGTTCCTTGTCTGTAAATGGGAATGATTCTGCTCAGGACTGTTAGATGTGTACATTTAAAAAAAAAATCAAACCACATGAAAGCAGTCACAGTTCACTGTGGGGCTGTGTGGGGAAGTGGGAGGCTCTGGTCCGTGCCTGCCCTCCCCTCTCAGCCAGGGACAGCCTTGCCTGCTGCGGATGGAGCGGGCCCTGGACCAGCCCCGTGAGAACTCAGTGAATGGAAGAACAACACAGCCTGGAACCCGGGTGTGGGCGTCTCTCAGAGCCAAAAGACACCTGAATCTAAAATGAACATTTTCCAGGCCTCTCTTTGTCTTCAAATTTAGTCTCGATCAATTTAATCATTTCGGTTTTCCAGGCCCCATGTCCTCAGTGCCAACTGTTGTGGTCAGAGAGCCCAGCAGAGGGCGCCTGAGGTTCGGTTCAGAGAAGCTGGCTGGCTCTGGCGGCCGTGGGAACGGCGAGACGGCGGCTTTTGTTCTTGAGAGGCAGCGCTGGAGCCAGCGCAGTCAGCCCACGTTCCTGGTTACTGCTCTTTAGAGATGGAAGGTAGATGGTGGCTGAAGTCAGGGCTGTAGGTCTCTAGGGATCTCCATCTCTAGAACTTGCATCTACCTTGTTAGCAGAGGAAGCCATGCCCTACCACTGAGACTTCCTGTCTCCTTCCCTTAGTGCAGGGAGCTTCGCTTCCCCACAGTCAGGCCATGGACTGGGACTGCTTTCATGTGGTTTGATTTTTTCCCCCAGACCTAACAGTCCTGAGCTGAATCACTCCCACTGACAGGGATCCTGTCCCTTAGTGCAGGGAGCGGCAGGGTTGCCTGGTTGGCCCTGGGAGCATTGCCCAGGTTCCCTAGTTTTGGGGAAATTGAACTG